AAAAAATAAAAATGGCAACGTGGTAGACAGTAATATTGTAATTCTTTTCTCTAAAACTGCCAGTATTAGGAAAAAATGCTATCTAAAACTATGCTGTGTCTCTAAGGTCATTTTATCGAGGAAATGATAAAGACCAATGCTTGTACTACTTAATTCTCTTCACGTAACCTGCCAGATAATGCACCAAGATTTCTCACCCCGCCTTTTTTAATTTAAATTCAAATTAACATATAATGTATTACTGGTTTCAGGGGTACAGGTCTCTGATTCATCAGTCATCTAGAAGTCTTTCCCCTACTTATTTATTTTTTTAAAAGATTTTATTTATTTATTTGACAGAGAGATAGAAGCACAAGTACGCAGAGAGGCAGGCAGAGGGAGAGGGAGAAACAGGCTGAGCCCGAAGCGGGACTCGATCCCAGGACTCTGGGATCATGACCTGAGCTGAAGGCAGACGCTTAACCAACTGAGCCCCTCAGGTGCCCTCTTACCCCCTTTTTAAACACTGAATTTGGATGTTTAAATCTGTTTACAATGTCTTTCACTGAGCTTTATTTTAAATGACGCTTTCTCATCTTCTCTCTGTCAGCAGTAAGAATGACTATCATTAATTCTGGTCATGCATATTAACGAAAGGAGGAGGGCAGGGTTGGCCAATGTTAAATAAATAACTCATTCCATATGTGATTCTCTCATTTTCAAAGGATTACATGGTCATAAAGGACCCTTCATGCTCTCCCGATGTCAGTCACAATTTAAGATGGTCCAGCAAGCACGTCAGAATCTTGTAAGGGATGTCGCTTGAGTTTTCCAATTGCTGTCTGGAGAAATATCTGCAGTTTGGGTTGTGGGGGAGAATAGAGAATAGGAGAGGGTCCCTCAGAGAATATTCCTTACAGTAACCCTCCTCTAATCTGCGCTTTCTCTCTCTATGGCTCCAGTTACTCATGGTCAGGAAGCAGATGGTCTTCCCTCTGAGGAATCATCAGAAGGTCAATAGTAGCCTAATGCTACTGCGTCATTCCCCTTACTTCATCTCCTCATGCAGGTTTTGTACATCATCACAAGAAGAGCAAGTATGGTACAGTAAGATATTTTGAGAGAAAGACCACATTCACATAACTTTTATTACAGTATACTATCATAAGTATTCTACTTTACTATTTATTATTGTTAATCTCTTACTGTGCCCATTTATAAATTAAACTCTCATAGGTAAGTTTGTAGAGGAAAAAAACAACATATATACGGTTTGGTCCTATGTGAGGTTTCAGGCATCCACTGGGGGTCTTGGAACATGTCCCCCATGCATAAGGGGAGGCTACTGTGCTTATGTCAAAGATGACATATGACATCATAAAAGTTCTTGAACTCTGTGCAAATCACTGAGCAAATGGATACAAGGGTAGGTGGCTTATGACAGTGCTCTTGGTCATCACTTAGCTCAGGCCAGTTATTTAATGAAAAAAGTAGAGCAAACTGTGAGTAGTATAGCATTTAGGGGTGAGTAGATGTGGACAAGTGGAGGGGAACACAAACCACAAACACTCTACCTGTCTTTCTGGCTCTCAGTGCTTCAAGAATGTCAGTAACAGCCATTTCTCCCAGGACATTGTTTCCAAGGTCAATTTCCCTTAAGTGAGCAGAGGATGTGATCAGGCTGGCCAAAGAAAAGGACAAATCAAAATGGCATTGTGTCAAGCATGTTTACTCAAAGAAACTCAGTCCACTTATTTTGGAGTCTGATCTCTCTTCTTAGATCCTCAGCACTCTCCTTGACAACCCCCTTCCAAAGATGATGCACTGACCCAATTTGAAACTGAATCCAGGCTTCCAATTTAATCTCTCTAGTTTGGATGCCTCTCCTAAGTAAATTGGTAGGATAAAGACTTTTAGTTGCCTCAAATCTTCCATTCACTTATTTATTCAGAAGATATGATGTGGTATTATGCAGGGCTTCCCAGTCTTTTAGAATTTACGCACCAGTAAAATGTCAAAAAGCTTGGGGGGGGACTGGCTTGACAACTTCTAGTATGTCAAATAAATAACAATTCTCACCTAGCAACACTATAGCAGAACAAATGTTTTTACACAAAATTAGAAAGCGCATAGTCTCAAAATAAAGGATAGCTTTGAAAATTAAGTAAGTTTAGCTTTATGAAAAATGAATACTCCGGGGCGCCTGGGTGGCTCAGTCGTTGAGTGTCTGCCTTCAGCTCAGGTCATGATCCCAGGGTCCTGGGATCGAGTCCCACATCGGGCTTCCTGCTCGGCGGGAAGCCTGCTTCTCCCTCTCCCACTCCCCCTGCCTGTGTTCCCTTTCTCTCTCTGCCTCTCTCTATCAAATAAATAAATAAAATCTTTAAAAAAAAAAAAAAGATGCTCTCTCCTTCTCTCTCTGCCCATCCCCCCTCCACCCCTGTGCTTGCGTGCATGCTCTCTCTCAAAAAAAAAATAAATAAAAAGAATACCCCAGTCTTCTACATGGCTATCAGTCTCCAGAACCAGGGCAGACAAAAGTGGCTCAGGTAATGGTAAAGGCTGGAAGTGTTCAGTGTGTAGAATTTTCCCTAATCCTCTTTTCAGCTTCTTACTTTACCCTAATTCCAGCCATGCTGGATGTCCTAGGTCTGCTGAATGGCTGTTTAATTTTTCCAGAGAAAACTCCCTAACTGGTCTTCCTTCTTTTGTCCTCACCTCTCCTCGAATCTATTTTCAACTTAGAGTTGAAGTAATCCTGATAAGATGTGGGTCAGATCAGGTCACTCCTCTTAAAATTCTCAAATGCCTTTCCATCTCAATAAAGTTAAAAACCAAAGTCCTCATAATTGCCTAGAAGGCCCCCTGCCCTCCACGTTTACTTCTTGGAATTATTTTGTCCTATTACCTTCCCATTATTTCTCACTCCACTCCAGCCATGCTGGCTTCCATACTGGTTTTAGAACACACCAGCTAGCCTCCTGCCATAAGCCTTTGCACCTACTGTTCTGCTTACCTGGACCGCTCTTTTCCCAAATATCTACATGGCTTGCTCTCACACACCTTGCGGTCTTTACTCAAATGTTTCTTCTTAGTACAGCCTTCTCTGGCTATCCTAACTAAACTCCCCATCCCCTGACATACATGCTTTATCTCCTTTTCTTGCTTTATTTTTCCCTTAAGTATGATCGCCATCTGATATACAATAATGTATATTTTACTTCTTTTTTTTTTTTAAAGATTTTATTTATTTGAGAGAGAGAGAATGAGAGAGAGCACATGAGAGTGGGGAGGGCCAG